GGTTGGCAAAGTCACAACATACATTAAGTACATATAGGTATGTATGTCAGTTATACACGTCAACCAAATTTACCTCTTCAACTGGCTCAAAAGGCTCCGTAGACAAAAAGGCTTAAAAAGCAAACAACATTACAAGCACGTAGAACTACTCGTATTCCCAACCTTTAAACATGATTTATAGTTCTACATAAGACAGTGTCAAATGGGTGAAAGACTGATACAATTTGGGAACAAGTTTCCGGTGTACATACAAAAAGTAGATATTCACATAATTTCTTCAAACCACAGCTCTTGAGGAACAACCTTTCAAGCTATGGCATACTATGGAATATACTTTGAAATCAGGGGCCATAGGGAACGGTCGTGCACAGCCGCCCCAAAATTTTTAATGCGTACAACACCCACAAAGAGACAAAAAAGAACTTGGAACATCCATTATCCTATCAATTGTGAATACAAGTTTCTCGCCAGAGCCTAATCGGTCATAAGTGTATATTTGTCACACTTTACAACATCTACTATACCTTATCAAGTTCTCGTGCTTCACCCAAGAAATAAATAACATGTTCAGTGGTGGTAATCTATCTCGAAAAAATACCCTATGGGCTGGCCTAAGTAACAATGATGTTTAGAGCAAGGTTCGTCGTACATAAATATTAATAAGGGGGCACAATCTCAATGTGCACCAGCCGAACAAAGCCCATAGAGGCATTCTAAAAATAACGCGTTCCCAGACCAGTCCACGATAGCCTACACAACACAATGCCAGTATTATGATAGCTTCGGAGCAATCCACCGGAGTGCTCCCAGCGATGTGCGATTGGTCCATTGTCTTGCCATTTATAGTATCTAGCTCCACCTTTGTAACCCTGAACTTGAGTGAGGTCAACATGACCTATTTAGGTCACTGTGTTAGAAGAGCCTTACAGGGAATGGTGTAGTGTTGGAAGTTTTATTAAATAAGTGTGTAATGCCAACGCAGTATTAATGAATGAAGTCGATTTTTTGCTTGCAAATAAATTCAGTTCTCTAAACCAAGGGGACAAGGAGAGAGTGAAAGAATAAGGTCCTCACCAACCCATAGGTACTAAAATAACATAACCAACAAAAAGGCGTATTAATGTTTTTGATACGGATCTTCTCGACAAACACTTATTGTACTGTTTCTACCATCTGCTTTTGGAAATGAGGATGCCAAGTGGTCTAAGACAGGTTCTACTGATCTTGTCCATGTGAAACAAAGCATTAAAGACACAAGTCATCACGAGTGCACGTCTGCCGTTAAGTATCACACTTTCGGACTACTAGACATAGCAGCGCAGCTAGACGTTGGTCATCTCATTGCAATGTCTCACAATAACGATCGGGTGAGAAAGAACAGGCCCGAATTGTGAAATGTTATCAAATGTATTTTGTTCTGTGGAACTCACGAACTCGCCCTCCGCGGTCATGAAAAAGTGATAAGTTGGGGAACAAGAGGTATCTTTCTTGATTTACTGCACAGAC